CTGGTTATTTCACCAGCCGGCACACAAAGCGCGGGGAAATACGGAGAGTTTCAAAAAGCACTGAATTGCGGGAGACGGAATGGTAGCTTTTCAGAAGGGGCTGCCATTTTTCCCAGAAATGATGAGCAGTATTCAAAATTATCTCAGCAGCATTTGATCACTTTGCATACGCTTTGACTGTGCGGTGTACAGTCGCGTCAAATAAAAACCAGATACCTAAGTTACACCTACCTTGCGTTAACAAAAATGTGAACACTGGACACAATATTAGCCGTTTTCACGACGAGCTTGCTGGCGAATGCACCTAATTTGACCAAATCTGCACCAAATCGCTTTTATAACAAATATCTTCATATCATGAAGTTATTTGTGTTTTAATCGAAAATAATGTCTGATAATTTGAAAATGGTGTCTATAAGTATATGTGAAACCCAAAACTGACAGCTTTTAAGAAACACAATGAACCTGGTTTGACAAAATCTGCACCTAATCTGCATCAAATGTGTATCAGATGGCCGTCGTGAAAACGGGTAGGTATTATGGCCTAAATAAACCTAAACTAATAGCTCTGCCTCTGTCATTGATTTGCATCAGAAGAAGGTTATTGTAAATACGTTCAACTATTCATCTTATTGTGTTATTGTGTGTGGAGAGAGAAAGAAAAAAAGAGAGAGAGAGAGAGAGAGAGAGAGAGAGAGAGAGAGAGAGAGAGAGAGAGAGAGAGAGAGAGAGAGAGAGAGAGAGTTGATCGAGCTTGTTACTGTTCCGGCGAGGGCTCAGGATATGGTTTCCTATTTCCAAGGTTGGCCATGTCTTGACAGAGACATTGCTCTAGGACCAAAATAAAAATGGCCGTCATTGTCATGGTGAGCATGGTGTCGCGGTCTCGCTTGGCGGCCTTTGTGCTCCACCGGTGAATGGCCAGCATCAATACACCATCTCTCTGGCGGGGGTCCATGGCGGCGCGGCTCGCCGGAAGCTCGTGCGTCGGCTCGTTACCGGAAGGGGCGGGCTCAGCCGGTCCTGGCACCGACTGTTGACCGGGTCACGTGTCCGCGACCTGCCAGCGCAGCGCGCCGCCCACCGGCTGGCACCCTCGCCGACCGGGCCCGCGACACGGAGCAATAGGCAGCACGCGTGCATATTTATGACCGGCAGCGGACGGGGAGGAACGCTGACAGCGTGACCCGACCGGGACTGCCCGCCCCCGACCGACCCTTCCCAGTGACTAGCTCGAGCCCGACGCCTCACGGCCACTGCCCAGCACCCGCCCCTTCCCAGTAGGTAACTAACCCGCGCCCGACCCCTCCCAGTAACCACCCAACGCCAAATCCCTTCCCAGTGATGGGCCCGAGCCGGCCTTTTATCGGTGGCAGATCCTGTTGGTCACAGAGCGGCGGGTGACCCCACGCTGGTCCCGAGCGGTGACCGACATGCCTGTTCTGTCACCCTACTCGTCCCCGAGCGGTGACTGTCATGTCTGTCCTGTCACCCTGCCCGGTCCCCGAGCGCGGCCGTCACCCGGCTGGACAAATGTGATCCGTGTCTCGCCGTCGGCCTTCCTATCAGAGTGGGAAATATGTCGTCGGCCCGCGGGAGCAGCGACCGCTCGACGCTCGGCGATGACATAGGGGCCAATGACTGGAGATAAATTCGGGCCGCTGAAAAAGGACGCGCAGTTTCCTCCAGAGACACACGACCAGACGCACTATGAACAAACGGCCATCGTGCGCGTTTGTATGTAGTATCGGGCTGTGAAATATTTTACGTTTCTTTAAAATGTTCGTCGATGTCTGAATTCCTACATGGTAGCGATGACTTCGCGAAAAGCTTTACTGAACAATTCATATGTCGAGTTGACCGGTGGTTTCCTTCCAAGATCGAACATTTGGAATTCAGGCCATGATTCGGAGAGATAGCGTTCCATCCATTGCGTCTTCAGTTCCATGACGAAAACCACTCATCACTACAACAAACACAAAAAGGCGAGTTGAGCCGGCGTTCATTACCAGACCACTTCTCTTGGCACCATTCTGTCTCCGGTGGCGCAACGAATTGCCATCCGTGCCCCAGTTGAACAAAAAGGCGGCACCGTGCCACTTCCTGACCTAGATCCGCGGGCCGCTCGTGTGGAATTGGCACCACCCCGGCGCCCCGGTCGGCCTCGCTCCGAACGGCGTCCGTGGGTTCGAGCGAGTGCCGTCGACATTTGCCGATTGAGTGCACACACAGATGTAGGATGAGTGACCTCTTCCGGGGGTCGTCCGCATTCGGCCTGACGCTGGGATACAAACGGCGTGCCAATTCGTTTCGCCAGACTTCGGCAGGCTGTGGAAATGTTGCGGCATCGAATTACATTTTCCAGACGCGACATTTTCAGGACGTTTGAAATCCGAGTCGCGCTCGCTTGTGCCTCGGCGGCGTATGCTGATTGCAGATGAGATATTTTTGGTTATCTATACAACACGCGTCCAGGGAAGTCGGCAGACTTGCCGCCCAGATTGGAACAGACAATTATGCTGCGAAACTTTGACGGCGCCAGCCCAAGCCAGCCGCTTCATCTTGGGCCGCAGACATTTAACGGTTACGTAACACCTTATATAATGCGATTTTTCGTAGGTGAACGAGATAAATCAGTGCAGTCTGGCTCCTAACTTTGTTAATCAACATCATTACCACAAACGCTTCAATCGCAGCCCGCGGTTGCAATCCGACAGATGCAATTATAGTGTAGGCTGACAACTTTTCATCTTGAATTTATGTGTGATTAAATTAGTTCTTACCTGCAATTGTGACCTCTCGTAGAACAGAGTTACGGATGAAGTGCCAACAACCTATAGGCTATCAAAAGTGAAAACGTATGGTAAAAGTGACCATGGAGAAGCCATCACAAAAGTGTTCCATCAATAAATGCCCATGAGGTAAGCATTCAGTCAAAATCATAGAAGGTCGCTACCAATGACGCATTATTTTACCTAATGCGCCCTAAAGATATAATACCTAAAGATATAATACCTAATACCTATATATAATGCACAGTATGTACACACTGCACGATGTTCAAAATATAGACACCAACTGACAGCGTTTGCCAGCTGGGCCCTGATTTGGGTCTGCAGCTGCCATATGGCTCTGGAGCTGAGTAAGGCCGCCAAACAACGGGCATCGCTGCCAAATAGGCTACCTATGCTAAGTTGGAACTTTAAATTCTGTCTGTTTTGCCAACACTGCTTGAAACGGATAGTAGATGACTCCCAAAATCTACTCTGAGAAGCTGTTGAAGTCCACTCAACGATTATAATTATAACTCATTAGTACTTGAAGACTAAAAAGTGAAACTGTAATAGAGGGCTGAAAATGAACTGTTTGTTTCTGAACTGTTGATATGAGATATAACTGATAAAGAATGGACATTGTCGTTGCTTAAACTTCAGTGTGGTGGAGATGGGCTTTTAAATCACCAGTCACACAAAACTGATCATGCTCATAGTTATTTATGTTAGCTTCTATCGATAAATTTATGCCATTTATTTAGTTTCCCGTTTTCAAGAAACAAGCCTCATGCTTCGTGTTACGCTGTAATCTTTTTAAGCTGTTACCGTAACATAAAAGCAAAAAATGGAAATGTACACAGACCCGACGTTATTTATTCAGTGTAGACTGTGCGATACAACATCGACCACTCTAGACCAAATTGCGTATTCTCGCGTAGATGCCACTCTCTATTGGAATTTGGATGTCGCCGCGCTGCCGCCGGAGAAAGGCGCCACGAACTGGCGACTGGCGCTCGGTAAACAATTTCGACAACAAAGCCTTTTCAGCGAAGAGTCCTCGGTCGTCCTAGCGGACATATGCCGGAGATACTGCAGCTCAAATGAGGCTGTTTGTGACTTCACAAATGTGCTTACCAAACGGCCGATGTTTCATAAACAAAACACTTGGAAATGGAAGAGTGGGTTCTTGGGACTGGAGTAGAGAAGTGCGTTTTCTTGCAGTTCTGTAGCATCTTTATTCGCTGTCTTCTAGCATAAAGCACAAATACAACTGATGGATACCTAACAAGTAACAAGATATTATATCCTAAAAGTATAAAATATTTGAAGATCACGTATCGTGAAAAATAAAAACAACAGTGCAAAAGAATTCGAAAAAATCGATATCGCTTTATGTTAAACGGTGTTGACATCACATGATATCGCAACATCGCCGTTCGAAAAGCATCCAGCTTGCTCTTATATACCACTCGACCCTCCACAGTAAGTACATACATGCCCATCCATGTGTAAGTGCGCGTGTACTCAGAGAGCATGCGACGTTGAACCCTTTGACCGTCGAGCGTAACCTATTTCTACCCGTCCAGTTATGAGAAGCTGGCTTACTTTGGGCGATTGCTTGAAGCGACCGAGACACTCAACGCTTAGTTATTTGAATTGCTATTGGAATGCTAAGAGCAAAACGGACAAACAACATTTTACCATCGATGGATTATTTTCTGCAATCACTTATTTTATTCTTGTCCCCAGTTTACTACCACGACTGTATAGCACAGCTGACTTCTTTGCTTATCAAAATCAATATGCAAATAAAGTCCACAAATTTCACCACGGACGTGTGTGTCGATGCTATCAGCTAGCGTTCCTCTTCGGTCTTCGGAGGAAATGGCTTCTGTCCGGGCCGTCACTGGCCGCGGCTGGGGCCGTCCTCCTCTCGGCGCGGTGGCCGTAAACTATCCACACGAATAAAGACCACCTGATGGCTGCGGCGCGGCGCGTGGCGGCGGCTGAGCGCGCCATTTACCGCCGCCCATCAGTCAGCGGCACAGGAGAGCGCGCGCTGCGACCAATAACCCTAATGGCGCCAGGTGAGGCGCCGCCGCCGCACTCCTGCCACACCACGACCGGCCTCTGATGAAGGCTTTGTTTTCGTTTCAGGTGGCGCCGACACCCATGTAGGGCCGGGTCGATCGGCGAGCTGCCGGCCGCGCCGTCACCGATCGAGAGATGGCGTCGGCGGCTCCGGACGTCGCGGTGACGGCCGACGCCGGCGAGGGAACCGAGCAGGCAGACACATCCAACAAACTCGACTCATCCACTTCCACCTCCGACGACACGATCAAGACGTCCATCCCGCGAATCGCGCTCATCGACGAGCACGAGCGGCGCCGCTCGCTCGACTCTGGCTCCTCAGCGCGCTCCAGCCAGTCCAGTGAGAACTTCTTCGGCAGTGTGCTGGCGCACGAGCCGCTCACGGAGGAGCCGGTGGTGGCGGCGTCCGCGCGCGCCGCCAGCCCGCCGCGCGAGAGTGAGGCCGCCGCGCGTCTGGCCGAGGAGAACGGTGACATCGAGGACACCCTGCAGCAGATCCTGCGCGACGAACAGGCGCTGAAGCTCAAGTACCAGAAGCTGCGGGAGCTGGAGGAGGCCAGCAGCGAGTGGTCACTCGCCGAGGAGCTGAGGGAAGCCGAGCAGAGGGAGAGTGAACGTACCGCCCGGGCCGGAGACAGCGGCGGGGGAGGCAGTGGGGGCAGCGGGGCAGAGAGCGCGGGCGGCAGCGGCAGCGCCGGAGACAGCGGAGGCGGGGTCAGTATTGGCGGCGGTGGTGGCGGCGACTGGACTAGTTCTCCCGACAGGTCCGCCGCCAAAAAGTCCGACCCCGTTCAGGCAGAGCAGACGGAGCGCACGTGGTCGGGCGGCTCCTCAGAGGAGGACAATGTCCGCCCGGTCGCCAGTCCCGCACGGCGGCACCTCGGCGACCGAGGCGCCCCTCCGCCCATCGCCGGCTGGGACACACTGCCAGAGACACTCATCGGCGACGGGGAGGGAGACTACATCACCCCTGACAGGGACTACGTCACCCCCGACAGGGACTACAGTACACTGGAGCGAGAGCGAGACTATAGCACGCTGGATAGGGATTACAGCACCCTGGAGCGTATGACGCCCGGGTCTCACGACAGCCTGCGCCGCTCGCGCGACGGCAGCTACAGTCCGTTCAGCCTGCTGTCCACCCCGTGCCACTCGTTCCTGGCCGGGCCCGTGTACGCGCCGACCGGGGACCTGCCCGACCTGACCCAGGTCGGGGGTGCCGACCTGAAGACGCCCCCGCAGACCAAGCTTGGCGGGGAGCTCGGACGGCAGACGGAGCTCGATCCGGACCTCGAGAAGAAAATGAAGCCGGAGAGCGAGCAGGAACCACTGCCGGAGCAGCAGACACGAGAGCCTTTATCGGAGGGAGCGCGCGAGACAGACAGAGAGCGGCGGAGGGAGAGGGAGAGGATGAGAGAGGAGCCGGAGATGCTCGGTCCCGGACCGGGGTCGACCCGCGGCCGTCCGGCGAGCATCGTCGAGCACCCGGCCTGGGGTCAGATCAGTGACCTGGACCGCGCGCTGGCCTTCATGGAGGCCACCGGTCCGACCGACTGCCGGCCCACCAGCCAGCGCTGGACAGACATCGACGACGTGCTCAGCGTGCTGGAGGCCGACAGCGACCAGCCGCCGGCGAGCCACGGGCCGCCGCGGCCGCTCCGACCGCCGCACGGACCCATGAGGGACTCCCGGATTGAGGCCGATGACGACTACCGTCCGGCGGGCGGCGGGCGCGCCGGCTGGGGCCCTCCGCGGCCGCTGGCGTCGCCGGCCGCCGACTGGACGCCGGCCCGCGGCCGCGCCCTGGGCCTGGTCGGGTACTCGGCAGAGCGCGGCGGCCTGGACCCGCATCGATCGGCCGCGAAACCCGAGCCGCCGAGGCCGTCGCGCGCCGTCAGTGTCAGCGCCGAGCTGAACCGGCGCCTGCGGAGCCTGCAGCGCGCGCGCGCCCACAGCCTGCTGGCGGACGCGCAGCTGGCCGCCGGCGGTCGCATCAGCGCCGTCCACCAGCACATCGTCCAGTCGACCAACGAGCTGACCATCCCCGGCCGCAGCACGCCGGCCACCGTGCACTCCTACCATGAGATGGTCATCAAACAGGTGATTGATTCGGCGCCGCCCACCCGCGGCGGCAGGCGCGCCTCGCACCCCGCCGACGCCGACGAGCCGCCCTGGGACGAGTGGTCCCCTCACGACGAGCCGCCGCCGCCGGAGCCGCAGCCGGCGCCGCGGCAGCCCCCCGGGGGCCCGCACGGGATACCGCCCGGCTACTCCGACGACCCGCACTCAGTGCCCGGGGCACTGGGGTCACACGACCCGTCCGGAATGCACTATCCTAGCTACGTCTCTGCCCGTGATTTCGACTCGCTCGCCCGCGGCGTGGACACTTTGGATCTGAGCGATACGGACCTCAGCGCGCACGAGTCGGCCGCCGACGAGCGCGCGCTGTTCCCGTTCTCCCAGCGCGGCCGGCCGGCGGCGCACCGCAGCGCGTTTCGACCCATCCGTCCCGAGCCGCTGCGGCCGGTGCCGGTGTCGGCGGCGCCGCGGCTCATCCACCACCTGCCGATCGCGTCGGCGGGTCCCGCGCCGGCGCCGCCGCCGCCGGCCTCTCACGGCGAGCCCAACTGGGACGGGTGCGGGCGCAGCAGCACACTGCCGCGCGCCCGGCCGCGCCAGCCCGCCGAGCGCGGTCGGCGCAGCAAGAGCGAGCGCCGCCGGCGGAAGGAGCTGCGTCATTCGGAGCGTCGGCTGCGACGCGCGCGCTACGGACGCTCCGGAGTGGCCGGCTACCGACGGCTGACGCTGCAGCGCGGCCGACGCGACGCCGACTTCGGCTTCTCGGTCATCGGCGGCCCCGACTCAGGTCAGTGGAGTGCCGCGGGGCAGCGGGACGGGACGGGCGGCTTGGCTGTCTGTTACAGGTGGGTAGCGCTGATCTTATATTCGTGAAACACGCTCATTGGACATAGAACAACTTACGGCTGGCTGATCGTAGATAGTTATTTGACAGGTAATTGTGTCTATAGTGGTAGTGCATTGGTGCGAGGAACTGAAATGGTAGTCAATTAAAGGTAGTGTGCCACCTTTGAAAGATTTCCCGTTTTATTTTTCCTAGGATAAGAAGCTTCTGTTTTTACCTAATATCGCAAAAAAAAATCAAAAATGGGCCTGGAATAGTGCCTTTTTCGCCTAAAAGTTTATCGGTTTTTAGATATGTATAACAACTGTAGTGGGCTCACCTGCAAACAGGCGTCGGGCAACAATCGCGAATGCGGCGCACTTGTGACAATAAGCAAAGGTCATTATAGTGTTACGACCATCGACGTACGGGAATGAGTTATCAGCTGTTTAATCGTAGACAACACAATGTCGAGCCTTAAACTGTAAGCCTGTATTGGTATTGTTTCTTAAATTTGGCTGTCGAACATTAATTTGTGGTTTGAAATATGATTTTATGCAAAATAATTTATATGAAACAGCCGTCTCTTAAGTTATGACCCCATTACACCACACGCAAGTGGCAGAAATGACAATGATCAGCTGACGCATTTTTCTTGGCCGAAGTCAGAGCGCGCGGCCCGACGCACCACGCGTATTTGGAAATTCCGACCTCGACGAGCATCAGAAGCCACCTAACAGGCGTGTTCGAAACCGCAGGAGATGATGATGAACGGGTTTATCGAAACTTGATTGGATGAGCCTATCGGTAATAGCGATTTTAGTGTGTGCATTTATTGTTCATAGTGGTGTGAAATGTGGTTGGGGTATACGACCGACAACCCGTCGGGGCGAATTTCGCACTGGGGTACTCAAAATTTGAAGAATTTAAGACGTTTCCATAAGTTTTGAAGGTATGGATAAGTTCTAAAAATCCGGTTCTCCTTATCCGGGTCATTAACTCCATATGGTCCAAGAAAGCTGGCGCACTACCTTTAAATGAGAAACAGAAAATGAAATGCGTACATACGTGTTACGTGTTAGTACGACTTTGACGTTCAAAGTTTGATAACACAGTCGCATTTGAATGACAAAACTCCGAAGCTTGAAAATGACATTTTCTAAGCGTATTCATTATTCGACAATAGCTATCAGCTGTCATCGATTTAGCGACGGCGGTTGGATGCCTGCCGTATTGGTTGCTCAATAGTAATAACGTAATAGCCAAGGTTCAATACCTGACAATCATAATGGCCAACGACCCCATGCGTAGAGCCACGATTAATTTCATGTTTACATACTAAGTTGGTCTCTGTACGTTGCCCCCAATACCGGACCCTAAAATCATTCATTTGACCGGACGTGTTCAGTTCATGCTGAAGCGATGGCAATCGTTCTCTTTCACGCATTTTATCCCCATAGATAGGTACTTTATCTCAGCATGTGTATTCAGTACCTACATTTCCCTTCCCCAACATGCAAAACGCAGCATTAATAAATGCAATGAGTTAAGAAGTACTTTTTATATATAGGTTGTATTGTAACTTACCAGTATAGCGCCTTTTGGGGCGACTAACGGAGCGAGCGAGGGGGTGAGTCTTGCACGTGCGAAATTTCGAGGGGTACCTCCAACTGACTTGTGCACGGCACCCTACTAACCGGTCTCTAGCGATGTGCCAAATTTGAGCACAATCGGCCCAGCCGTTCTCGAGATCTGGAAGCGGCACCCTGCACGTGCGCACGTGCAAAATGGGTCTCAACTGACTTGTGCACGGCACCCTACTAACTGGTCCATAACCGTGTACCAAATTTGAGCGCCATCGGTCCAGCCGTTCTCGAGATCTGGAAACGACCCCTGCACGTGCGCACGTGCAGCAGCACCCTAACTCTGGCACATGGATATGCAGTGCCTAGTGGATGCCTACCTACATGCCAACTTTCAGCGCAATCGGCCAAGTAGTTACCGAGATATTGCAACAATTGCAAAACTGACACCTCTTCGTTTTGCACGTGGCACGTGCATAAGGGGTCACCCACATGCATCGGAAATAGTCCAATACTTGGTAGAAGGAATGAAGCTACCCTACAAAAATTACCCCGTGTAAATCGGTCAAGTGGTTGCTGAGATATAAGCCTCGCAAAAGCGTCCGCACGGCCGGCCGGCCGGCCGGCCGGCCGCTCATACTCAGAAATTTCCGTTAATCTAAGGAAAGACTACGCTCGCTTCGCTCGCTCCGTAATTATAACTTTTCTGTTTTCATAATGTTTTAATGAACTTCTTTTAAATAACCATAATCTAACCTGACTTCGGATTATCTTTAGGCGTTTTTATCGACAAATTACTACGGCTCTAGGCCCCCGACTTCACACAAGACCCGTATATCGTTACCCGTATTTTGAACAGACCTGCAGTTAATTCGGCACTTTGGTTGTTCCCTGTTTTAATTGGACAGTTGGAATGGACAGTTTATCAGTCAGATGGCGCACCAAAGCACGCGTGGTTAGCAATTACAGTGGGCGATACTATTGATGGCTGATAGGTACTTTGTCCGTTCCTGATCAGTATGATTCAAATTAGTGGTTGCGATGCGATGGGCTTTAGCTGAGTTATGGAGTAGAAATTATATAATGGAAATGCTATGATTGAGAAATACAAGTCTCATCCATGGCTTAGCATATGTTCCTTGAATTCAAAAACAAGAGGAAAACGCCTATTGTTTAATACCTTGTAGAACCTTCCTTGTTCACCCTACATAACCGAAGGTTCGTTGTCAATAGTTAAAACACTATTCTTTAGAATTGTGTTTTTCTATTGAAAAACAAATCTAAGTTCCCGGACAATATGGCAAAAGTATTATTCGGAAGAAATATACATACATCGATGCATGGCACTGAAAGAACATATAAGTATTACGTCACATCAAACCAACGCTAATGAGCACATATCTGATGGCAAGTCACGCTAACATATGCAGTTGAGCTTGTTCAGAATAAGGCCCTGACACACTCATTCGGCATATTTACGTCTGGACAACGAGTTGCGGGGAAAAGTGCTGATTTTGTTGCAGTTTTAGGAGCCAGTGATTAGGCTGGATTATTGGGTTACTTTTTCGTTCCGATTCATGTATTTCATAGTGTTTGGCTTTTGAATATTTTAGTTCTTTCAGATAAATATTACTTGCCTTACATTTTTTGTAAAAACGTTTCATTTTTTTATAAGCCGACCTTCAGAGTCCTAAAAATACATCAGCACTACAATCATTGTAAACAAACAAATGGAGCACCACTTGGCTCTGTTCCAAGGCGCTTTTTAAGTTTATCTGGTGGTTTCCGTACTCTTGTACGTCGTTTTGTTGGATGTTTTGAATCCCTTAAGATTGACTTATATCATATTTAATAAGCATGTGACTGAAAACAATCCGAAGTATCCAGGACTCAGGAGGCTGACAGAGGTCCTGACTCCTGATCAATATCAATATCAAGTTGAACTTGAAGTTATGAAATTTTGGTTGATAAACGCAAGTTGATTGGTCTCATATCAGCAAGAAAAATTAAAATTAAAAGAGCTTATTGGCCGAAAACAAGCTATAATATTGCAGATCTTTGAGCAATACTGAAGAGCGCGCTGAGCAGGATCATGCCAGAAAATGTTGACTGATGAGTGATGAGCGCATATTGATGTATTGGTATGAATATTGAATGATAACTTACAACAGCAAGATAAATTAGTGCTAACTATCAAGTTAAAAATCTAGAATGAATGGACATTGGCAGCTTTACTATGCTTAGATGCTATGCAGATTGTAATGTGCATCACCAGCATCAGGTACTCAGTGTCGACCAAAAGAAACATGTGATCATTCCATTGCTACTGGAGGAGAAAGCTTGGATCACTAAATCCACTTGATGTTGATTTTGATGTTAATCATTACTGTATTTCTTGAGAAAAGGATTGTTATAAAATTGTCAATGTGACAATCCATGCAACGATGTGATCATATAATGTGTTCATAGTCATTCGTGATAGTGATTGTTGGTGCAATATACAATGGCAAAGCTCTCCTGTGATGGCCAGCAGTGACTCAGAGCTTAGAAGTATTAGTTTTCTTCACAAGGCTGGGATAAAAAGTACTGAGGGAGTAGGTTTAGTCGGGTTAGTTTAGATTCGGTTATATTATGTTTTTTAATTTGCCAGGTGTCCATAAAAATGTGACCTGAGCAATGAGCATACCTGAATAACCTGACAGCTGACCTAACCTCAATCATCACACATATTTCCAGCCTACCCAAGACCTGCATAGCAGTAACACCCAGTTATAGGTAGGTACTCACCCTAACTCAATCTTACCTGCTAACCTTCTACTTGCCAATAGTTAGCTCACCTTGCCAAGCTGCATCCAGGGAAACAGTCAACTGAAGAACTGGCTCATTGGGTGGCTGGTGTGAGTCTGTGCATTTAAAGCGTTTCTTCTCTGAAGCTGCTCTGCACTGCTGTATGTTGATGCTCAGAAAATGTGGGAATATATATTACTGACCGGGCCGACGAAATTATTTGGAAACGAGGTTTGCAAAATTGACGGAGGCCCGAGTGCGGAGCACGAGGGCCGGAGTCAAATTTTGCAAGCCGAGTTTCCAAATAATTTCGTACGGCTGAGGTCAGTAAGATTTTTCCTACATGCCGCATACGTGCTAAGTAGTTTCGACTGGTTTTAGTGACACTTTTATACAATTGTTTTGTCTATAATTTCCGAACAGTGATTGCGCTACTGCTGTGGATAAAGCTTTAAAGGAAATTTATAGAAGAAAATGCATCAAAATACCCTACTTCAAAAAGAATCGCGTCTGAAAAATATCAACTCAGAATAGCACAACAACTGGATATCCGAGGAACATAATACATGAATAATTTGCCACGACATAAGAACA